GCAAAAAAGGAGCCAACTCAGATATTGGTGAATTACAGAAACATCACCTTTGATACTTGTGTAAAGGAATGTGGGAGGCAGCTGGATGCCGGTGACTCACGCCTGTAATCCCAGCTACTCAAGGGGCTGAGATCTGAGGATCGCAGTTCAAAGCCAGCCCAGGCAAGAAAGTCCGTGAGACTCTTATCTCCAGCAAACCACCAAAAAACTGGAAGTGGCCCTGTGGCTCAAGTGGTAGAGTGCTCGCTTTGAGCTCAAGAGCTCAGGGATAGCCCCATGCCCAGAGTTCAAGCCCCACAACTGACCAAAAAATAAAAAAAGAATGTGGGAGGAAAGCAATTTCTTTCCTTTCTCTTTCTCTTTTCCTTTTCTATGAGTCCCTGATTGTAGGCAACAACAAGACTGGTACCCATGGGCATAGCCATTGCTTGTAATTTGTCTCATCTTCTAGAAGGCGTATTTCCATGGTGCTCCTGGTAGCACAGAAGACTCATGGAAACTTAGGAAAGTTTTCTTTCCTAACCGACTCATTCTTAGTGTCATTTGAAAAGCCTATCACCATCTGAGTGGCCCCACAGCCAAGGCAAGAGGGGAGGGTAGCAGGGAAGGAGGCCTGTCCATAGACAAGCCCACCTCCCTTTGCCTTCTGGGATCCCATGGCTCTGTGGCAGGTGTCAGATGGCTTGAGCAGCAGTATTGCCAGTGTTTGTTTTGCTTTTTTCCCCTAGCCATATGGATAATACGTTTTATACAGTCCTGATGGAAGAGGAAGTCTAAACAGAATCATCCTGCATACTTCCTGAAAATAGAACATTTCCAAGAACCATTATAGTGATAACTTTTTAGGCCTTATCTTAACCAACATGAATGCACATTTTCTATCATAGTTCAAGAGAAGTGCAGTATTAAAGCATTGCCATTTCTCAAAAATGTCATCCAAACAACAGAAAAAGCAGAGAACAGTAAGCTCTTCCCTTCCATTACATTCCACCTGCCTCTTCTTTCCCTAGGAGGCAGATGTTGCTGAGAAGGTAGCCTAATCAGATTATTTCTCAGCTCAACTTGAGTGGTTAAAATACATGAAGTATGTGGATCAGAGTGGTCTGCATGCTGTCTCTCAATGCTCACTCTTCTTTGGTAGGCTAAAGAAGTCATGGTCTCTTTCTCTGTTGGTTGGGCTGTGAGATGATGAGGAAAAGGTGAGTTTCAGATCCCCTGGGTTTTCAAACCTGGGTGTGCAGCCCCTTCAGTCTGTGAGCTTCCATTTCAGCAGGTTCTGATTGTAAAGAAAGGGTTCTGGATTACAGGCTGTCAATAAACTATCTATCCAGTGTTCTCAGTTCCACTGTAAACTAGAGTCTTCTCAGCTTGACTTGGCTATGACAGTCCAGAGAACTATAAAACACATTGTCCATGGTTGGGTAAAACACCTGACAGCACTAGCATTTCCCAGAATCTCTGCAGTCTAGAGTCTACACAGCCACTGAAGGGGTAGGTCAAGGAAACCAGGATGTGTTTGCCTTTGTAGAGACATTTGGTGACAACCAGGAAAGAGCTGAGCAGAGAAGCAGCAGGGTGTTCTGCTCTACTCACTCATATCAGACAGTACTCTGGCAAAATATCAGGAACTGTGCAGCCAGGGGAGGAGAATTAGAGGCTGCTGGGGGTGGGATATTAAGTGATGGTAATTATAAAATACATAATATAAAAGACTTGACATTATTTCAAAGAATACTTTGGAGTCACCCCTCTATTTGAGCTCTCTTTCTACCCTTACTATTCCTTAGTATTAGCCAGTTTGGAGGCTTGAGCTCCGGATCTGGATGGTGTCCCTGAGCTTTTGTACTCAAGGCTAGTGCTCTACTATTTGAGCCACAGCTCCATTTTTGGCTTTATGGTGGTTAATTGGAAATAAGAATCTCATGGACTTTCCTGCCTGGGCTGGCTTCAAACCTTGATCCTCATATCTCAGCCTCTTGAGGATATGAGCCACCAGTACCTAGCTCACCCTTGGTATCCTTTTGGCCTTGGAAAAAAAAATTTTTTTTTAATTGCTGAGCCTAGATAAATCAGAACTACAGTTCATTCATTTAATCAATAGACTACTTGTTTACTGGGTACCAGGCTCAAAGGGTGAAATGGTAAGGAAACACAACTCTAACCCTCAAGGTGCTTGCAGTAGTGATTCTAACACATCTACACACCCACTTTGGCTAGGAGAGGGATCCAATTGATGGAGCTATTCCATGAATAAGTGCCCTTCTCCCCACGTCAGAAGTCTCCATGCCTGGAACAACCTACTTTTTGCTTACAGATGTCACAAGAAAGGAAGGAGGCAAATAGGCAGGTCATTGAGAAACTGCTCTTTGCCACTTTGAGACTTTCTAACTTCATCAGGTAGCCTAGGCTCTGAGAACTAGCTCTGGTGTATCACTAGTGCCAGGATAGACTGTGAAACTCATGGAATAGCTTGGCCTAGAAGAGAAGAGCTATCTTTGAGTAGTGGAAGAGAAAGCGCTCCAGGAAGACAGATACCATACTGTTGATGTTACAGAGCACAATTTAAATCTGTAAGAAAACAAAGGTTCTGAATAGGAGCTTTCTGCAAATGAGGTAACCCAACGAGATGAACTAGTAAGCACTCCAATTCTGGAAGACCTTTACCAAAATTGGCATGGGGTAGGAGATGAGATCCTGCTGACTCCTGCAGCGCTGCTGTGCCCCAGGGAACCTCAGAAAATACACAGGAGTTACTCTGTAGGCCTACCTACACATGCATACAAAGCCACGTATAAAATAGTATTCATTATAGTGCTGTTTAGAATGAGAAAAGACTGGAAAGGAACCACATATCCAGAGGACTGGTTAAATACTTTACCATACACCAGTCTTGTGGCTCATCCATTGTGAACTGTGAAAAAAAGATCTGTTATTCAACAGCAGAAGTGTGACACTGAAGTACACATGTAGAATGTCTCTCATAGGGGTGGAGGGCATGGAATATGTTCTCATGTTTACCTGGATTTGAGTAGAAGCAATCTAAAAGGATCCATGAGAAACTGATTCCATCACTTACCTCCAGAGAAAACTAGGCAACTGTGAAGCCAGGAGGGACACTGTACTCTGAACAGCCTTTTGAATTTTGTATCTTTTGAATTTTGCTTACTAGATACCAGTATCTTTTGAATTTTGAATAGCAACTATTAATAGTTCCTTCCTTCCATCCTTCCTTCCTTCCTAACTTTTTTTTGTGCCAGTCTTAGGGCTTGAGCTGAGGGCCTGTGCATTGTCCCTGAGCTCTTTCATCTAAGGCTAGCACTGTACCACTTTGAGCCACATTTCCACTTCTGGTTTTCTGGTGGTTAATTGGAGATAAGTCTCATAGACTTTCCTGCCCAGGCTGGTTTTGAACTGCAATCCTCAGATCTCAGCCTCCTGATTATCTAGGATTACAGGCGTGAGCCACCAATGGCCTGCCATAATTTTTTTTTTTTTTAATTAGACTGGAGGCTTTGGAGGATGCTGAGTTGTTGCATCTGAAATGGCAGGGCTAAAGTAAGGGCTGCCTAAGGCTGGCCCTTTCCCCAGGGACAATGCAAGCCTATACTGGGGCAGTCTCTGAACTGCTGGGGCCTCAAGTAGAGGTACCTCCCATTTCCTCCAGGAGACATACCTGTTGTGCTTCCCTGTGCTTTTGCTGAACTCGGGGAGATTTCAGTCTGTGTTAACAGGCAGTCTGAGGCTGGGTCATTTCTGTGGCTGAAGGAAAATACCTGCAGAGCTCTTGGCTTCAGGAGAGAGGTGATGCTTGCCTCATGCTCTTCTGCTAGGTGTCAGCTGGTCCTCTTTGTCTGCCAGCTGGAGGCCAGCTGGAGAGTTGTTTTTCTGATTGTCAGACTCAGGCTCCTTATTTGCACTTAGAGGAAAAAGCATCCAAGTCCCGGTACAAAAAGTCCTCTTTTTAATTTCTTTGGAAAAAACAGTGAATGAGCTCATTATCACTGCAACCCAAGTAGGAAGGGGAAGGGAGAAGGAGAAGGCTGTTCCTTCTCACTGTCTGGACTTGTCCTTGGTCAGGTTTTCCGGGGTATAGGGCTCAGACCTGGCCCAGAGTGACCAAAGCCAGATGGCTGGGACAGGTGGCCTGAACCAGGGGTGGTGCTGAGGACATATGGATCCTTTGGGGTCTGCTGCCTCTGCTGTGGTCCAGGGTAGGGGAGTATCTGTGTCCCTTCTCTCAGAGCAGAGTTCTATCCATGACTGCTGGCCTCCATGCAGCAAAAAGGGAGATTCCGGGGCTGGGAAGGTGGCTCAGTGGTAGAGCGCTTGCCTTGCATGCATGAGGCCCTGGGTTTGATTCCTCAGCACCACATAAGCAAAAAAAAAAAAGGTAGAAGTAGTGCTGTGGTTCAAGTGGTAGAGCGCTAGCCTTGAGCTGAAGAGCTGAGGGATGACGCCCAGGGCCAGAGTTCAGGCCCCACAACCGACAAAAAAAAAAAAAGGAGGTTCCTGTGTGCAGGTGCCTTAGACATTCTCCGTACCCCTGAGATGGCAATCACACAGTGTCAGTTTTCTGTAGAGTGTTTGCAGTTTGCCAGGCACAACTGTAGGCACTTGGATGTGGTGTGGAACAAAGCTGGCACACTCTTCTCTCAGGGAATTTAAATTCTAGCTTGAGCAGTGAAATGTGCAGGGCTGGCCTAAGGTTGCCCCCTCTACCCACACTCTTCTAGGGCTGGGAATGATACACCTATGCCCAGAAAAATGCTCTTTGGCATTTTTACCAACTGAGCCCAAGTTGTCACCAAGTGCTTCTTCAGAGCACTTCTTCACACCTGTGGGTGAGGCAGGAGAAAGTGCTATAGATGAAAGTTCTGATTGTGCGCATGTTGGTGCTAGATCTTGAAGTGTCCAGGCCTGGGTGACAGTGGTGATAAGCTGGCAGTGCTGACCCCAGGCCTGACTGCCTGTCCTCTTTGTTCCTCTTCCTTCCACTTCAGATTGAGAAGATCATGAGTTCCATCGGAGAAGGGATTGACTTTTCTCAGGAACAGCAGAAGATCTCAGGTACTGTACCAACCAGCCATTTCCCTTATGGACCAGGGCCTCTGGCTCTTTCGAGATCAGGTTTTCTTTCTGACACAAGACAAGTGTTGGAGGGGGGAGCGGGGGCAGCTGTAGACAGCAACATGCTCATACAGTTAAGTGTCTCCCATGTGTGGACAGCCACCAGGCTGATATTGTTGACTCAACTCCTTCTGCATATTGGAGAGGAAAGAGTGTAAGGTGAATCTGAGACTGCCTCTCAAAAGGAAAATGGTTTAATGATGAATTGTCACATACTCCCTATTTTTTAAGGTATGGGCTTTGTCAGATTGGTTCAAACTGCTCAGGGCGCCTTAGTGCTGGTATCCTCAGCTCCTGAGATGGCTCTGGAGCCAGCTTGTCATGATCACATGGTTTTCATCTGCCTCATCTGTGGCTGTGGCAGAATGTGGGGCTGGACCAGGGTTTCAAACTGTCTTCGTGTGTCAGCTAGTGAGTTGACTTTTCTGTTTCCTCCTGTGTCTGTTCCTGTTTTACAGTTTTCTCAGTCATCTGCCACCTTTACCACGTGTCACTGCTAATGGCCACTCTTTTCATGTCTGTGCCCTTGGGATGGGGTTTGTCTCCATCCCTGTGTGAAATGGGACCAGGGAGGCAACTGGGCTGAGCTCCCATGGTGATGGGGTCATGGTGTGTTTGTCAGGAATCTGTCTTTAAAGTGCCTGCCAGGGCAACTGTCACACCTGGAAAATAGGAGTGTCTATTCTCCTGGCTTGTCTCATCATCACTGCTCTCCTCTTCAGTCTTGAGAGCCCTCCCTTTAGCCAACTTACTTCCTAGGTTCTAGCAGAGGGGCTGTGCTGAGTTTGGCCATGCTTGTCCACTCACTAGCCTGACACATGTGGACTATGCCGTCATCCACATAGCTCTTCTGGCTAGGAGCCTGTGGAACCTTTTCCAGGCAGATTCTTGCACTCTACCGAATGATCTCACACTCTACTGTCCTGTGCAGACTTTTCCAAAGGGCAAGTGTTCTGATGGAAATAGTTGTTCAGAATTGAGGCACTGAAGCTGTATTTTGGGAACAGTCAGGGCTGGAATGAAGAACATTCAGTTCAGTTGAGGCCACCGTCTGCTTTCCTGTCCCCTCTGTGTCCAGGGAGCAGGAACTGAAATTACTTGTGGTGTCTGACTCAGAACACCACATCCTTGGATGTGACTGGCCAGGAGTTGTGACAGCACCTATGGAAGAGCCTTCTCCTGAGCTGGCCAGCACTGAGCTCTCCCTTACAGTCTAGTCGCACCCATGGGAGTTTGAGTGGTGTTGGTTCTGGACCTCACCACAGTTTGTCTGAATGTTTTCCTTCCTTCCGTCCGTCCTTCCTTCCTTCCTTCCTAAGTTCCTCCTTTTTTTTCTTTTGTACTAGTACTGGGGCTTGAACTCAGGACTGGGCTTTCTTGCTCATGGCTGGTGCTCTATGGAGCTACATCTCCAGTCTGGCACTTTACTGGTTAATTGAAGATGGACTCTCATTTCTGCATGGGCAGCTATGAACTGTGATCCTCAGATCTCAGCCTTCTGAGTGGCTAGGATTACAGGCATGAGCCACTGGCGGCTAACTTACTGCTTATTTTTCTGAGCTACCCTCCCATACACCCTGCTTAGGGAAATCTAAAGCAGGCACATGCTGGTGACCACCCAGATGGGAGTCTCTTGCCTTGCTGCAGGAGAAAACCCCAGCATACAGTATCTACACTGCTGGGCCAAGGATCATAGAGAGGTTTGCTCATGCTTGGGCTCTGATTGAGCCATGAGGAGCTGTGCCCAAGTCCTCATAGAGAACCATCTTTTAGCTCAAACCAAAGCATTGACCGTTAACTTGGAGTGGTTGGCATTGGAGTTCAGTTGTCCTTGGGTTTACAGATGGGGAAAAGAGGCCTGCACTCCAACGCTGGCAGCTAGAAGAGGTGTGGGTCATGCCACAGGCCTCCTGAGCCAAGTGTGAGGCTGCTCAGCATGTCCAGCTTAGCAGAGGGTCCTTCCTTAAAGGACCAGAGCCCTGCTCCTGTTTGAGAACCCCTGGCTGCCAGCACTGGATGGAGTTAGTTCCTTGAATCCCCAACAGACATGTTTACAACTCACTCAACCCTCTGCCACCTTCTCAGGAGTCCAGGAGCCATAAAGCATTCCCTCCCCTACAGACCATTCTGGCTTCCTTCCCAGGAGGCCTGCTCTGTCAGGCAGAAGGGAACTGCTTCTCTTGCACTTGCTTTTGCTAAAGTCATCCTGGTTTTACTGATAAATATAAGATCCTTCTGAGTTCTGATTGCCCTGGACACAAAGCCTATTTTTTGCCAATGCCTGTCTGCAGCCTGTTGGGACACAGGTGTCTCACAGGATACTACAGGGTGACACATGGTCCTTGTCTATGTGTGAACTTTTTTGTCCCTCCCTAGCATTCCTGGATTTGGTCCTGGTCTCCTCGGGGCCTGGCTGTTCCTGTCCCTTGCTGTCACTTCCATAGTGTATGTGTTCTTGTCTGGGCATGGTGCTTCTCCTATGGGCTCTGGAGAGGTTTGCCATCCCTTCCTTACCAGTTGTCTGGTACACTCACCTGAGGAATGTCAGGAGCAACTGCTTTGTTTTGTTTCCTTAAAGTGGCAGGTGGAAAGGTTCTTTGTTTCTGGGCTATACCCTTAGACAGTGTCATTCCTCTGTCCCCTCTCTTGGCTGTCCTAGAAATTGTTGGCCAGAACAACAGGAACCATCCCTCTCTATTCTCTGGGTAGGGAGTTCCTAGCCCCTCCAGCTCAGGAGTTTCATCATCTCCCCTCAGGTTTGCATTTGTATCATCAACATCACACACCGGGAACCTGTCACCCTGCTCTGATGCTGGTCTGCTTTTCTCCTCCCTCAGCAGTAGCGGCAGCGGCAGAGGCAGCGGCAGCTTCTGCTCCGATGTCCGATCCCTGATGTATTTTCCTGAGTATAGAAGTGGGGGAGGGAGAGAAGGGAGGGAGGGGAGGGGAGGGCCAGACATGAGAAAGAGCAAGGACTGTGGAGCTGGCAGCAGGCAGCGTGGAGCCCAGGAGCCTTTAGACAAAGCATTTGTGCTGCAGCTCTGTGAGCACACATTCACCAGCAGCAGGCAGGACCACAGCTGCCGGACTGGGGGATTAAAGCAGGAATGAATCAGCAGCCGGGACCACGGGACTTCATGGACATTCAAGAGCCTGCCGCCTAGGTTCCTGGAGCAGTCTTCCCCGTTCAAGGACAGGGGCACTCCATGAGCCCCTAGACTGCTGCAGCTGCATCTAGAGGGCACTGGCTTCCTGACTACTATCTATTCAGCAGAAGACATAGGAGGGGAGGCAGAGGGTTTCTTAAGATAACCAAGCAACTTGCATTGTCCTGCCCTGAAGGGCAGAGTGCCGGAGAATGGCAGAATGACTTTCATCGTGTCAAGAGTTCCTTGGAGGTGATGTTTTTGTGGTTATTTTTCCTGCCTTGCATCTTCTTTTTTCCTGCCCTTTTCCCTTTTCCTCCTTGTACCTGTTCTTGCCACAAGAACCAGAGAAGTAGGTGGGGGTAAAGGCATTTGGCTCAGAACATCCAGGGAAGGGCTGAACTTTGTTCCCCTGCATCACCACAATCCCTGTCCTGACCAAAGAGCATTGCAAATAAATGTCATCCAGAGAGGAGACTGACAAGATCCGAGACCCGGGAAGACAGCTGCATCTTTATCACTCAGCCAAAGAAAGAGCACCCCAGAACGTGAAGAGACTTCAGCTGCCGCAGCTCGACTAACAGAGAACCGCTTCCTTTTCTCTCTTTTATCTGGTTGGGTTTTGTCTTCTTTAGTCAAGAACTGAATTCTGCCTGCCTGCTTTCTACTGGAGCAAGGCAGGCAAGTCACAGGAACAGCCACTATCAGAGGAAGAAAATGAACGCACAGCCCCTGGAAGCCAGCCCAACCCAGGAAGGCAGCTCTTCAACCAGCGCCCTGGCCCCAGAGATGCTCCACTCACTGGCCACCAGTCTAGCCGTGGATGGGCCCTAGTCTTCTGGCCACACAGTCGGGTGGAACACCATGCTACTGTTCCAGCAGAGCCACACCTGAGCCTGGTCCTGCACCCTGGCCCTTGTGCCCCACTTGGCCCCTGGCTGCCTTGAGCCTCTGAGTACACAGAGCCGGGGCCATGGTTTGCTTATTCCGAGACTGCTGGGGGAAAACAAGTAAAAGTCTCTTTTCTCCCCCTGCCGTGTTCTGTGCTGCTTGTGTTGCATGTGCTGGGTCCTTGTGAACAGCAGCCGCTGCTTCCTTCCTGGAGCCCTCGCTGTGTGCCTGTGCCCCTCAGCTGCATGAAGATGTGTGCTCTCTCCTGACCAGTTTCTGCTGCAAGGTCACAGAACTTGCCCCCCAAGGGGCTCCAGAAGTTGCATGGATGAGAGGAGCCGCCAGGCTTGCAGGCCCTTAGGAGTTCCCCCGGCTCCCTCTTGTGCCTTTGGGGACAGACTTTGTGCCACGCCTCAGTGTGAACACTGATGAGGAGTTGCCCTGGAGACTGTTGGGGGTTGGCTTCCCCTGACCTGGGGGCAAGATCGTGCATGTGCCACAGTGGCCCAGGAGCAGCTTTGACCCCAGGGGTGTGAGTGGGCAGCAGCCACCCAAGGTGGGGTAGTTGTGTGTGGTGCCGGGCAGTCCTGTCCCTGGTCTGCACACAGAAGACAAGCTGTGTGTCTGCTGCTCTCTGGTCTCTTGTACTTAGTTTGGCTGCTTTATGGTAATGACGATGATGTGGCAGTGCCATCTGTCTTCCTCTGAGTGCCGCTGCTACCGCCTTAATGGGTTTTCCCTTTTCAAGCGTCTGCCGATTCCTCTCTCGTCAGGTTCTCGGACGCTGGAGCAGAGCGTCGGGGAGTGGCTGGAGTCGATCGGGCTACAGCAATATGAGAGCAAGCTGCTTCTGAATGGCTTTGACGATGTCCGCTTTCTGGTAAGTGCCTACAGGCCACTTTGCAGCCATGCTGGTACTGGTACTCCTTGGTGCCTCCCAGTCTCACCAGCCCTGCTGTAGTTTTAAACTGTATATAGCACTGTGTCCCAGGGAAGAGCTAACAGAGGTGATGTGGACACCAGGAAATCAGCTGAATCCATGTGCCTGCTTTCCAGACATTGATCCCTTCTACTTCTGTCCTGACATCCATGAGAAGAGCCTCAGGAGCATCCCAGACTCAGACCCTTCACCCTTCACCTCTCAGACCTCAGTCCACATGCTGTACCAGGAGCTTCGGTGATTAAACAACCAGATTCCCCCTGGTGATTCCATGTCCTGTCTCAGCTAAAGATCAAGAATTCCCCAAATTTGCTATCAGTGAATTATCACTGAAGCAATGGCTCCTTCTGGCCCATTCCCTAGATGGAGGCCAGCACTGCATGGTTTCATGTTCTCCTGGTCTCTGAGGTGCCTTGAGAGAGGCTGTTGCTTTGCTGAGGTGTCATTCCACACTCTTTGAGAATACAAGGGGGTCTCTCTGGCTCCCTGTGGAGTAGGGTCCCAGCTGGGACTCTGGGCTTAGGAGCTAGTGTTCCCTCCATCATCCTAAAAAGTGACTCACTGTTCCTCCTCTAGAAGCTGTGCAAGGTGTGGCCTGGGCACAGGCCAGTCAAGAGCCTCCACATCCCCAGGAGTGGGCCTTTGGCCCGGACTGCTGACGTTTGTGGCTGGTCTAGGAGGTTTGTGTGTTAGCTCAGTGGCTTCCCAGCAGCCCTGAGGTGTGTGCTGATATTTCATGCCAGGAAGTGTGCAGAGGTTAAGTGGCTTGCCCAGGGGCACACTGCTAGTAATGGGCAGAGTAGAAATGCGCACTCATGTGGTCTGGGTCCAGAGGCCATGTGCTTACTGCCATGTTACATGGCCTCTTTGTACAGGGGTGTGGATGTGAATCATCTGGGAAGCTTGATTTGAGGTGGATCTAGCAATCCTCACACTGCCCTGATCCCCTTTACTGTCCGGAAGGTCTGTCCCCAGCTCTTACAGCCCCTTAGGATGTAAGCTACCCCCAGAAGATGCTGTCAGCTGTGTGTGTGTGCTCTGTGCCTCAATTGAGAGGTAATGATCTGAGCCAGCACCCACTCCCCGCCTTGCCCTCTGCATGCAGCAGAGCCAGTGTAGGTTGAGTTTGGTGCCTGCCTGGAGAGGAGCCCTGACTGAGACTGCTCACCTCACTCAAGCCAGCTCTGCCTCCAGGACAGCAAGGAAGTCTGCAACAAACCACCCTCCCAAAGCCTGCTTCAGGCTGGTGATCCTTCTGCTTTTAAAATTTTTTAAGTATTAAAATAGCCCTTTTCTTTTTCTTTTTTTTTTCTTGTTGGTCATGGGGCTTGAACTCTGGGCGTGGGCGCTGTCCCTCAGCTCTTCAGCTCAAGGTGAGCGCTCTACCACTTGAGCTACAGCGCCACTTCTGGTTTTCTGGTGGTTTATTGGAGATAGGAGTCTCATGGTCTTTCCTGCCCAGACTGGCTTTGAACCATGACCTTCAAATCTCAGCCTCCTGAGTAGCTAGGATTACAGGCGTGAGTCACCAACACCCGGCTTATTTTTCTTTCTTTTAAAAAGTTTAAGTATACTTGTGATTATTATTATGTCCTGACTCACTATGTTCTTTAAGAAAAAACAAACAAGTCAGAATGGGACAGAGGAGATGTGCTCAACCAGTGAGCAGGGCTGGGTAGCCCCTGACACTGAGGGCTTTCCCTGTCCGAGTGCACCCTTTCATCCAGCTGCCCATTTGACGGGCAAGTGAGGGTGGTTGGGGATCACAGACTACCTTTCCAGTACTTCAGAGGTGCAGAAGCTGAGCTCTGAGTTCTCTCAGCTCTCTTTTGCTAATTTTGGAAAGGGTTAGGTGCCCAGCCCTTGAAAATCCCTGAGACTCCCTAGAACCGCCTCCCTACCCCTGCCTGACCAGTCTAGAGAGTGGACATTTGGGGAAGTGTGGCCCTGGGCCAGATGTCCACAAAGGTGCAGAGCTCTGCTAGGATGTACTTTTTCCAGAGGACCCTTGCTGCAGGATTCCAGCTGCACAGCCCTTCCTGGCCCTTCATGGCTTTGGGTGTATTGGATAGCAGCAGCCTACTGCTGGGCATGTTACTTCAGATACCTGGAATAGCCTGAGTAGCCATGCTCAGCATCCTGGATAATTGCATGTCAACTGCCAGATGGACCCTAAAGCTGATTAAGTTTTTGCAACCAGGAGGAGCAGGGGGAGCACAAACATTAATCTTATTGCTTACGGTGTTTCTGTCGTGTTAGCTGTGGTTCATTTCTACATAGTTTGGTTTGCAGTAAGCTATGAATATTCCCCTTGGATCTGAAATACCCTGAAGATACTCTTCTGGATGCAAAGTAGGCTCCAGATGTGTTGGGAACATCTGGGGTACTGCTGTGGAAGTGCCCTCTGACAGGAGTGCAGGTTCCCTATGATGCCATGCAGCTCCATCTCAGGGTGAAGAGACTTTACTGTCATGTGGTCTGCTTATCCTTCCTGTGCCTGAAGTTGGATAATTTACTCTGCTGTCTTCCAGTGACCAGGATTTACCACATTATGAAATTGCAGAGCATTCATTGCATTGTTCAGCCTTGATTCAGATTCTTTATATTGAGTCAAAATCTGTTTCATGCTTTCTGCCCATGGGCTTTTTTTTTTCCCCAGACCTGGAGCTTGAATTCAGGGTCTGGGCACTGTCCCCTGAGCTTCTTTTGCTCTAGGTTAACACTCTACCATTTGAGCCACAGCGCCACTTTCTGGTACTGAGGAATAGAACTCAGGGCTCCATGCATGCTAGGCAAGCACTCTACCACTAAGCCACATTCTCAGCCCTGCCCATGGGTCTTAAGTTCACCTTTTGGGCCTCACAGAACACATTTAAGCCTTGTAGGAAATTAAAGGCTTCTCTTTTGACTTCCTAAGTCTTACATGGACTTAATTCTCTATTACTCTTGCCTTTTGATTTGGAGGTCCCACTGATGGGACCTAATAGGACGACACCAGATCCAGGAAGACATGCACAGGAAGGTGGTTCCCATATCTGCCAACCTGCCTAATGGCATGCCCATTGCAGCTCCCTTACCACCACATTTTTGTCAGAGGAAATGGGCTTTTTTAGGATATAGAAGGAAATCTGCACTAGTGGCTGGCACATGTGTAGCTCTGGGTTACTCGTTCAGCACTCACCTCTCAGCACAAAAGCATTGATTGCATACATGATGGTGGTCTGAAACTGGAGTATTATGACAGACCTTAAGAACTGTTTTGAAGGATTACCCGATATGGGTAGTGTTCATATTGCTGAGTGGAGAAATGGAGCCCTTAAAACCTATGCACTATGGTGTGTGTGTGTGTGTGTGTGTGTGTGTGTGTGTGTGTGTGTGTGTGCGCGCGCACGCACACGTGCACATGTGAAATGGAGCCCCTAAAACCTATGCACTATGGGGTATGTGTGTGTGTGTGTGTGTGTGCCCGAGCCTGTGCTAGGCCTAGGGCTTGAACTCAGGGCCTGGGCACTGTCTGTGAGCTTTTTTTGCTCAAAACTAGCACTATACCACTTAAGCCACAGATCCATTTTCAGCTTTTTGTGGTTAATTGGAGAGGCTCCTGGACTTTCCTGTATGGGCTGGCTTTTAATCACAATCTTCAGATCTCAGCCTTCTGAGTAGCTGGCACCCAGCTGCAATATGATCTTAATGCTTCACAAAGAAACATCCACTATCTATGCATAGGAAGTGAGAGGGAAGAAGCCAGAGTGTTTTTGGTGGTAGCAAAGAAATGGCTTCACTTTCCTTTGTGATGCATAGTCTGTTTTCCCCATCCTACCATGAATGGACATAAAGTCAGAGCAGCAGGTAATATGGTATTTTAAGGAGCATTATGGTCCAGATGGGGAAACAGTACCTAAAGCGATAGAGCAGCCAAATGTTGGGCTGAGATGGAGGTCCTTAGTGCTGCAGGAACAGAGGGGAAGAGCCTGAGCTTACCAGGCTTCTACATACCTGGCCTGGAGCTACAGGTGGGACCTCAGAGAGCAGAGACACCAACCTGTGTGTCCAGCCTTGGCCCTGGGACTTGGGATTTGGGGAAAGTCTAGAGAGAAGTTAGGTAAGCCGGGCGCTGGTGGCTCACTCCTGTAATCCTAGCTACTCAGGAGGCTGAGATCTGAGGATCACGGTTCAAAGCCAGCCCGGGCAGGAGAGACAATGAGACTCCTATCTCCAATAAACCACCAGAAAACCGGAAGTGGCGCTGTAGCACAAGTGGTAGAGCGCTCCCCTTGAGCTGAAGAGCTGAGGGACAGCGCCCAGGCCCAGGTTCAAGCCCCACAACCGACAAAAAAAAAAAAAAAGAAGGTAGGTAAGCAGGAGCAGAGCTTATCTGTGGTGGGAAAGGAGGGCTGGCTTAAGAATAGTGCATGGCCAGTCCCTTGGTAAGGCAGGAGAGATGGGCTTAAAACCACATATGAGGGAGTCCTGAGGTCTACAATGCTGTGGCCCTCACTGGATAGAAATCCCCTAAATCCAGGTGCACTTTGGCCTCCAGAGCATGACAGAGCTGGTATGGTGGGCTGGAGTAGATATGGGAAAGTGGAAATGAGCCCATGGCAGGCTTGGGATGGGTTAGAAACAATCTTCATCACAAAGCTGTTACTTCTTAGGCCATGGTCAGGAAGACTCCTGCTCCTCCTCTTGGCTTCTTTTTCCATAGGTTTCTACCATGGTCTCCATGTTGTAGAGATATGACAGGTGACATAGAGTGAGCCCTGATGGGGCTGAAGACACTTTTTTATTGGCTTCTGTGTAATTTCCCATACAGTTCTCAAACCCCTGAGATGCCCTTCCAGTTCCTGCCCTAGCCCCATGCTTCTACCATACCTCCTCCTTTGTCTTCTTCCTTTCTAGGTCCATCCTGAGCAGGGTACATCCTGGTGCTATGCTGTGTGTACTGAGTAACTGCACAATTACATAGTCTGCTAGCCTCTGCACCCAGCTCTCTGCCAATCTCTGTATTAGCCACTGCTGTGCAGAAACTCTGTATCCAGTTAAAGTAGAGCCCAAAGCAGGATTGGTGGAGCTAAGGCTGGGAAAGGAACACTCCTGTATCCTAGACTAACTAAATCTTGTCATCTGAGGGCCAGACTCCTCAAGTATCCCAGGAGTTGACACTGCTAGCCTGGGCCTCCTGGGCTCACAGGCCACCCTCGGACTTAAGCAGTCCTCTTATGTGGAGAAGGAGCAGGCCACTCCGTGCCATTTCCAAGGCCCTCCTCGCCCAGCATGTAGAGTTATGAGAGTGATGGAGCTGGTTAATTCAGGAGCCAGTTCTAATTGCTCCAGTCTGCTCTGGCCTACTCTGTGCCCTTTATAAAAGAAGGAAACTTAAGCATGTTTTTGTCTGCTCACCAAACTGGCTTTTTTTTTTTTTTCCTGATCCTGAGGCTTGAACTCTGAGCCTGGGTACTGTCCCTGAGCAACTTTTGCTCAAAACTAGCGCTCTACCACTTGAGCCACAGCACCACTTCTAGCTTTTTAATTGGAGATCAGACTCTCATAGACTTTTCTGCCTGGGCTGGCTTTGGATTACAGTCCTCAAGTATCAGTCTCCTGAGTAGCTAGGATTACAGGCATGAGCCACCAGCTCCTGGCTTAAATTGGCTATTGTTTAATATGAAATTGTGCTAGCAGCCACTCCCTCTTTCATGGCTTCTACTGGTTGTGAACGGTAATAGAGGTGTCCTTCCTGGTATCCCAGATGTCTGTGTGTTCCCTTAGCCAAACCATAGCCTGCCTGTGGTGGCAGTTGCTCTTGCCACCTATTTGCACAGGTTGTATAAAGTGGATGGGGAAAGTGCAAGAGGAAACTCACCATTCTTCCTAGAGGTGAGGAACCCAGGAGAGCTGACTTCTCCAAGTCCTTCCCTAGAACTTGAGACTGGTTCCTCTTTTCACATGTGTCTTCTGATGCAGATTCCATTCAGCGTCCTTCCTTCATAGCATGAGCTCAGAATGTGACACAGCAGCAGAGCTTGAAACCACACATTGACATGGAGTGTGGACAGCTTGAGGCCAAACCCCACACATACACACCTTTTTTTTGTTGTTGTTGGCTATGGGGCTTGAACTCTGGGCCTGGGCGCTGTCCCTCAGCTCTTCAGCTCAAGACTAGCACTCTACAACTTGAGCCACAGCACCACTTCTGATTTTCTGGTGGTGTATTGGAGATAAGAATCTCATTTACTTTCTTGCCCGGGCTGGCTTTGAACTGCCATCCTCAGATCTCAGCCTCCTGAGTAGCTAGGATTACAGGCATGAGCCACCAGCACCCGGCAAAGGCCAATCCCTCTTGACTCCAGACTGACTCAGGACCAGCAACTACTGCTGATTAAAGGGTAAATATGGCACCTCGAACTCAGCCAAGACTTCAAAAAAGAAAGGTATTCCAGGAAGACAGGAGCAGGTGGATGAGATGGATGTCACATTGGTCCACAAAGGAAACAGGGACACTCACAATGTGCTTGGGAAGATGACAAGGGTGAGAAGTGTTTCCCTTTAACTGGGAAGATTGCTCCTCCAGCCCTGTGCACCTCCCAGAAAGCACCTCCTAAAGGCCACAGCCAAGAGCCATCAGGAGGCTTCAGGAACTAGGACTGAGATAAGTTGTGCTTCTTCCCAATGGCTTTTACCAGGACAGCCTCTCCCTTGAAGGGAGACAAGGTCTGAGTGGGGTTCAGGATGGTCAGGAAAGCAGGAAAGTGTGAGTGCCTCCTGTCACCAGCTAGGTTGAGGGAGACAGTGTTTATGTGGGCTGTCTTGGAAGCATTGTCAGTCCCAGAGGAGGCAAGGTCAGCTCAGCCAGGCAATGGTGGGCAGATGCATGTAAGAGAAGTCATAGTGCACCTGGTCCCTGTCAGGGGTCAGTTCCCAGGCCCAGGCAATCCACTGTTTAACCCTGTGAGAGCCCTGACATGGCTTCACTCATATGGGGAACTAGTCCTTTAGCCTCAGGGCCACAGCTGCCTTTGGAAGCTGCTGGCCCAGAGAAAGCCCTGACCCTCCTGGATGGGTGGGTGTACACAAGCTGGAGATGCTGCTTTTCCCTTTCCTGTCCTTAATAAGATTTGAGGTGACCAACAGAGAGCCCTGTCATCTCTCCCAGTGGTTTTCCTAGGGCCTGGGCCAGGATGGAAACAGATGTGCCCTCTCCTGCCTATCTAGGCGCACATCCCTAGGCATGATCACTTAGCCTCAGTGTTGGTTCTGGGAATGGCAGGAAATTGCCTGGGGTGGTGGCTGTCCTTTCTATACCCTGCCCTGGTGTGTATATGATCTGCTTTTCCTGGCATACAATCCTAAAGATCTTAGAATGTCCTTTGGGATGCTAACAAAGTAGCTGGTGGCAGGGTTCCTGGAAACCCTCAAGATAATGGGCTGCCCAGGGATCTGACCTGGGTTAGACTCTTATCCCAATACAGCTTACACTGTCCTTCTGCCTAAGAACCCCAGTCTCCCTCCCTCTTGGTTCTGGCATTGGGCTCTATGAAAGGCTGACCTGGCCAGCCATCAGTTCAAAACACCCTAACATCTTCCTCTCTGTGCTTAGGGGTCTAATGTGATGGAAGAGCAGGACCTGAGGGAGATTGGCATCAGTGATGCACAGCACCGGCGGAAGTTGCTGCAGGCTGCCCGCTCCCTGCCCAAGGTGACTGCCCACAACCTGCAGCCTCAGCCCAGGCCAGGGCCAGTGCCATCTCCCTGATACCCCTAAACCAAGAACCAGGACAAGCTTGGCTGTGGTACATGTAGATCTTACCAGGTAGCATCTGCCCTCCTTCAAGCCCAGTAGGGCTCATAACCCTGTTCCTTTCCTCACAAAGTTGCAAGCCTAGAAAATGGCAAATATCAAGGGACCATGGATACCCTGTCAGGCAGACGGGGGAGCTTCTATGGGTGTTCCCAGTACAGGAGCCTGGTACCACAGGCTTGGTGTGTCACTAGAGCCCAGGCTGGCCCATCCTGACCCCCAAGAGGCCTTGGAGGAGTTGGCAGCAGAGACAGCACTGTCTCCCCATGGTACAGGAGCTATTAGGCCCAGGCCTAGTGGTACTCCCCATGTTTCCCTGGTTCCTCCCTCCACAGCACACACCACTGTCTTGTCCCTGTAGGTGTATGACTACCTTCAGAGCCCAGGTGGAGGCATTCTACACTCCTCCATCTCACCTCACCTGCAAAGCTGTCTTCCCCAGATCTAGTGGCTCCCACCTCCCAGAACAGTGATAGAAAGAGCTGTGCCAGGGAAAAGTTGCTGAGGTGCTAAGGGGCTTCCTTGGTCTCCCCTAGGTCATCAGTTCTCATCCTGTGAGTCTAAGATGTGATTGCTTCCTCTTGGTCTGCAGGTGAAGGCCCTAGGCTATGATGGAAACAGTCCCCCGTCAGTGACCTCCTGGCTGGACTCCCTGGGGCTGCAGGACTACATCCACTCATTCCTGGCCAGTGGCTACAGCTCCATTGACACTGTGAAGAACCTCTGGGAGCTGGAGCTTGTCAATGTAAGTGCCAGCACACCCCTCTTGAGGCATGCCTCCTTTGGTGACCACACAGCCATGGCGGGAGGCAGGGCTGGGGGAAAGTGGAGAGCAGGGAACTAAGGGTCCTGTCACCTCTGACTGCCTTCCTCCCACTCACTGCCAGGTCCTGAAGGTCCACCTGCTGGGCCACCGCAAGCGCATCATCGCCTCCCTTGCTGAGAGACCCTACGAGGAGCCGCCCCAGAAGCCTCCAAGATTCTCCCAGCTGAGAGTGAGTGAGGGGAGGAAAGGCATACATGCTCATGCTTTGTATTTTTAGGAATTCCTCAGAGACAATGTGACCTCTGTAGAGAAGGTGGCATTCCTGCCCTCTCTCACTGAGCTCAAAACAAATGCATCGACATGGGTTATTTATTAATTATTAATTATATCCTGAAGTGTTTGAGATGGCCTGTAATCAAAGATCAATTTAAACCAGGTGCCAGTGGCTCACGCCTGTAATCCTAGCTACCAAAGAGGCTGAGAGCTGAGGATCATGGTTCAAAGCCATCCCGGGCAGGAAAGTCCATGAGACTCTTATCTCCAATAAACCACCAGAAAACTGGAAGTGGTACTGTGGTTCAAGTGGTAGAGTGCTAGCCTTGAGTTGAAGAGCTAAAAGCGCCCAGGCTCAGAGTTCAAGCCCTACAACCGACCCCCACCCCCCAAAAAAAATCAGTTTAAATACAGGACTAAATAAAGTAGTCTCAGGAATTACTGGGACCACATCAAGGGGTTAGATTCAGCTCTGTACCCAGCAGCTCAGGAGCTCAAGACAAAGCTGAGGGTTCTGACAAGACATCACCTACTGGCCCAAGCCCTGGGATTTGTACCTCCAGGGATAGGATTGGGAGAAACCTACACTTTCAGAACCTCACAGATGACACATTGTTCAAGCCAAGGGATGGGTTGGGCTTGGATTAGGTTGGGCTTCATGGAATCTGCCAGATAGGGCTGTATTGTAATGGTAGATAACATACAATGGAGACTGGACCTGCACCTCAGAAAGTGGGTACTGTTTCTCCTGCTTTACGCATGAGGAGGCTGAAGCCAGCCCTAAACCAAGAGCCAGACAACGCTTAGATCTTAACATTGTGGCGTCCTTTCATGGAGGCTGTGGCTGCCAGTGCTGCTCAGTACACAGAGATCAATGGTGGATCACCACAGATAATTTCATATCTGATCATTGTGGGTGTGGCTCTTCTCCCAAGGGTCTTTTAGCCTGTGGCTGTTCGAGGTCCCCACAGGACAGGGTCTTCAAGGCTTTGCAGCTCTAGAGAGGCTTCCTTCTTGCACCAGCTGGGCAGGGCCCCGTCCCAGCCTTCACTTCAGGTTTCTGGCTGGTAGGGCATTTGATATCACCTTAGTTGCTGTTGACCCCCTAGATCCTTGCTTCTTCTGTCCCCCTGACTCTGCAGCCCCTAGCCATTTCCAGTGTGTCCCCAGGACCAGCCGATACCTCCAATCTGAGGCTAGGCTGGTGGTGTGAACTTCATGGTTTCTCTCCTTTCAGTGCCAAGATTTAATCTCCCAGACATCATCCCCACTGAGCCAGAATGATTCTTGCGCCGGGCGGTCAGCAGACCTGCTGCTGCCTCCAGGGGACACAGGCTGGAGGCGGCATGACAGTCTACATGACCCCACAGCATCCTCTCGAGAACGCTGCCGAGTCCAGGTGGGCAGGCAGGCCAGGGCCTTCCAGCACCCTGTTGGGCTGGCATCAGGGTTGGGAGGAGATGTCAGCCTGCTCCGCTGACTTCCTACCCTGTGCACTGTGTGAGGTCCCAGGGTCCTCCCAGACTCCCTCCCTCCCAGGTTCACCTACACAGCTCCTCTGTAACTGCCTGCCTCCCACTACCCAGCCCCACAGGTGGGCACAGGGTTTTCTCAGGAGAGGCTTTGTGTTGTTTATGGGCCCCAGAGACCTACAGTGATTTGCCATTGACTGCTGGTCTACATACCCCCATCCTAGACAGACACACACACACACACACACACACGGTCTACATACCCCCATCCTAGACAGACAGACAGACAGACAGACACACACACACACACACGCACGCACGCACGCACGCACGCACGCACGCACCCTGCCTCCTTTATTCTCACCCTGCTTGGTCCCCAGAGCTTCCTCTGCAACCTCTTCAGCCCAGCATTCTCCCATCCCACCTGCCAGGTCTTAGTCTGCTCCTCTGCTGCCTTTTAGAGGCCCATGGTGGGCACAGCTGGACATGCGGCAAGGTGCCTCACCAAGACAGGGTTGGCACCATTTTGAAGTCCAAGTTTAGTCTCCTTTCTTTCCCCACAGCGCAGCCATCGGCTTTTAGAGTAGAAAACAGTGTCTAGCAGTTTCAGTTGTTCTGTATGGAGACTGCATGTTGCTGGGAATAGAAATCCAAAATGGTTCTCAGTCTTTCCCTCCTCTCCGTCTCTTATGCTGGGACCCTGCTTGTGCACCTGTCGCTCTCACCTGCGTAGACGTGACACTGCCCCCGCTGCTTCCAGCAGCTAAGTGTGTCTTCACCATGGTGCTCCCCAGTTAAGGGACCCAGCTCCTGCCACTCAGGCAGAACAACCCACAGCTTGTGTTTCCTCGTGTACAACCTGTTAGGCGGCTATCCCCATTTCCAAGACTCCTAGACACCACAGACCTTCCTGGCAGCCCTGCTGCTCTGCTTTCCTCTCGGGTCAATAGCAGCTCCCCCTGTCACAGTGCTTCTGGTTACTCATCTGGGCCCTGCCCTTTGTACTTGACCCTCACCTTACTGTTGTCACTGGTGTCCTCACTTGAGTGTGGTAGAGCCCATCAGTGAGCTTGTGAGCTCTTCCCTACAGCAGGTGAGCCATGTCCAACTGTGTGTGTTCTGCAGGAGGAGCCCCGGGAGGCCAAGCTGACCCTGCGACCCCCCAGTCTGGCTGCCCCATACGCCCCTGTGCAGAGCTGGCAACACCAACCAGAGAAACTCATCTTTGAGTCCTGTGGTTATGAGGCCAATGTGAGTTGTTCCTGCCCTCCCAGCTTCCCTGCTCCCTGCACCTTCTCAGCCAGTCCCGTGAGGCCCTCAGGCCCTCTTTAAGGCCAGATCCCAGAAGCTGTCTTCTACTCTGCAGCCATTCCCAGCAGCAGAGGGGAGGGGAAAAGGCCTCTGGAAAATCCCCAGTGATCGTAAGAAAGTAAAATTGGGGGTGGGGTGGGGGAGGTGCTCTGCTGCTAGCGTTAGAGGAGGAGGAGTTTTTGAGAGGTAACCACCTGATAGGGGGACGCTCACTTTGGCTGGTCACCCTGCATGGCAATACAGGTATCTAAGCCCACTGCTCCTCCCACAGTACCTAGGCTCCATGCTGATCAAAGATCTGCGAGGGACAGAGTCCACACAAGACGCCTGTGCCAAAATGCGGGTAGGTTGTGTGTGGGGAAGGAGGCGGCTAGGACAGAGAGCAGGAGATGGAAACACAGCTGCAGCCCCCTGGTACTGCCATGCTGCATGCCACAGAAGGCTGGGAGGAGCCGTGAATCAGGAGAAGGAGCAATCTCAGGACCTCCCTTGTTTCCTGTAGAAATCCACGGAGCACATGAAGAAGATTCCCACTATCATCCTGTCCATCACATACAAAGGTGTCAAGTTCATCGATGCTTCCAACAAGGTAGGCTTCTCACAAGGACCGTTGGTGGATGTTGGTTAGACTTTGTGCTGCTTTAACCCAGTTCTTGAGAAAAGCAACTTAAGGGAGGAAGCATTTATTCCTTCTTTTTTTTTTTTTTCTTTTTGCTTATGTGGTGCTGAGGAATCGAACCCAGGGCCTTAGGCATGTGAGGCAAGCGCTCTACCACTGAGCCACCTTCCTAGTCCCCATTTATTCCTTCTTACAGTCCTAGTGGCTTCAGTCAATGACCTCTTGTTTCTTAGTCTGTAGGGAGGCTGAACATCATGGCTGTGGTAACATGTGGCAGAGGCTGTTCACCTCAGAGTGGCCAGGAAACAGAGACACAGGGAGGCACAGGGACTAGAAAATCTCCACTGACATACTTCCTCCAGCCAGGCCCACCTCTTAAGTTTCCAGCACCTCCCCAGATAGCGCCACCAGGGAACCAAAGCTCCATGACATGATCCTTTTGAGGGGACAATTCATATCCAAACCATGATGTTCTACTGGCCTACAAAAGATGTTCATCTCATAATCCAGGTGCATTTTGTCTATCTCTAAGAATACATGTATTCTTAACACGTTTTTCTGAAGTCCAAATTCAAAGTCTCCTGTGAGACTCAAGGCAAACTCTTAACTATAAGCCCCTATTTAAAAAATCAGAAATTAACCTACTCCCAAGATAAAGTGGCATTCCCATCCCAAAAGGAAGCAATAGAATAATAGCAAGGAAAGGTCAGACTTCCTCGCAAGCAAGACCAAAACCCCAGCAGGGCAAACACTAAATCCTGTAGCTCCAAGGCTGGCATTCAGGGACTGTGTCAGGAGTTTGAGTAGACTTGAGCAGTCTTACGGCCTCTTTGCTGACTATAACCCACATGGCCTTTCTCTTGGACTGGCTCTATTTGCTGCCTTCATCTTCTCAGAAGAGTTTTGCATTCCTGGTATCCTTAATTTTCTGTGGTCTCTATGTGCCTTTAGTTTCAGCCTCACAACTTCATTGCCTTTTCAGGGGCTATCTTCAGGAGCTCTGACCCTGCCATATATTGCCTGGCCTGCAGTCTGTCCTTTGAAATCTGGGTGGAAACCTCCATGACCCTATAGCTCTTGCATTCTGCATACCTGAAAAACGAGCATCAAGTTTTCCATGACCTCAAGCAGTAGCCAGGCCTCCTTAGACCACAGCTGCATGGTCTCTGAGTGCCTAGGTTGCTCAGGACTGAGAAATGAAGTAAAACACATTCCTAGTTGCCCTCATGGAGCAGAGTGCCCGGAAGTACTTTCTTCTCAAGAGAAAATCTTTCAGATGAATTTTCTTTCCAGAAACCATGTCTTCTGTAAAGCTACAGAAAAACTACATGCTTTTCATTTATTTCTGCCTTAATTTTTCTCCCTATTAATGTAACCCTGACTAAAAGCAGCTGTCAGTAAACAGGCCACAGCCTGAATGCTGAGCTTCTCTGAAATTGCCACTACTAGTTAAATATTCCATCCCTTTAAACTCGACCTCCCTCAGTCTCAGGACAGGGACAAAGTGGAGCTAAGTTCTTTGCTATAATGTAACATGAATGAACTTGAGGCCAACTCTCACTAGAGTCCTCATTCCCATCTGAAGCCTGAGCACCATCTTTACTGTCCTTACATCAGCATCCTGGTCTTCCAAGGGTCCCCCAGAATGACCATTAAGTTCTTCTCATATTTCCAAACTTTTCCACATTCCTCTCCCAAACCAGCTCCAAAGGCTTAAGAACGACATGGTCAGGTTGCATCCCAGCAGTGAATCTGGTAGCAGTTTTCTATATTAGTTACTTTTCACTGCTATGACCAAATACTAAGAGAATCCATTTAAAGGAGGAAGAATATGTTTGGCTCATGGTTTCAGAGGTTTTAGGGCATGGTCCCTTAACCTTGTCACCATGGTCCTGAGCCACAGCACTTCCTGGTGGTGGAAGCAGGGGAGCCTGGCTTTGCATGGCAACCAGGAAGCAAAAAGGAAGGACTGGGGACCAGGTATGACCATCAGAAGTACACCTACTTCCTCCAGTCAGGCCTTCCCACCTGAAGCTTCTAAGACTTCTCAGAATATTACCGCCAGCTGGAATCAAGCCCTTAATACATGACCCTATCTATCTATCTATCTATCTGTCTATCTATCTATCTATCTATCTTTTTTTTTTTTTTTTGGCCCGTCATCTTCGTCATCGTCATGGGGCTTGAAATCTGAGCTTGGGCTTGTCCCTGTGCTCTTCAGCTCAAGGCATGCGCTCTATCACTTCAGCCACAGCACCACTTCCGGTTTTCAAGTGGTATATTGTAGATAAGAGTCTCACAGACTCCCTGCCCAGGCTGGCTTTGAACCATGATCCTCAGATCTCTGCCTCCTGAGTAGCTAGGATTACAGGTGTAAGCCACCTGTGCCCAGCTTACATGACCCTTTTTGCAGGGACTCACCTATAATAGCAGTCATCTCCCTGTGAGAGACTGGGCTCCAGTCAGCCAACTCCAGAGCCCTTTCTCATCTCTTCTTCCATCTTCCTACCTGTCCCCATAGTAACTCCCAACGCGGGTTCCGCTGGCTTCAGTGCTCAGAGACCTTTAAGGGTGAGTTTCTCAGTGAACAAAAGGTTCCCCATGACCTGCCACTTCAGGGTCCCACTTTCCTGACACTCTTCCCACTTCACCCCCACCCTGGAAGATGGCAAAGGCTGGTGAGAGCTCATGGTTGGCAGTGAACATTTACTACTACTTGGTAGTTATTTGAAGAACGGAAACCCCACCCCTACTGAGAAAACAAAATGTTTTTTTTTCCCCCTCATAGCTAGTGTGCTATGCTGGTAAAAGCCTGGGGTGATAGTGCTCGAGCACACCTCAAGGGAGCCATGAATTCCAGAACATGCTTTCCCCAACAGAATGTCATCGCAGAGCACGAGATCCGGAACATTTCTTGTGCGGCCCAGGACCCAGAGGACCTGTGCACCTTTGCCTATATTACCAAGGACCTGCAGACCAGCCACCACTACTGCCATGTTTTCAGCACAGTGGATGTGGTGAGTGTATCAGCAAATGAGAAGGCAGTAGCAAGCAGGGCCGAGGACCACCCAGTTCCATGCAGGCTCCCAAGTGATCAAGATACATAGTACTCATAAATTGAATTATTATTGAGTTGAAAGCTCCTTGTACTAAAGATAATAATCAAAATACCTTTAGTTCTGCAATATACATATTCTATCTTGGGAAAAGCTAGAGGCCGATTTGCAAAAGTATCCACCTATCCAGCCATGGGCCCACTGAGGCTAGGTCCTTCTCTATGAGAAGAGAGCTCAAGTCAGTGTGAAAGGGCAATACAGGTGGGAGTAAGGCAAAGCCACCCACCTGCCAAGCAGGAACAAGGAGAGGAAGAGGGGAAAGGGCCCAGGACGTGAGGTGGCTGGTGTGTTCTCATGCAGTTTGGCCCACGTGGCTGCAGGTTTTACCTTCACCCAGGATTTCTTTGAGATAGAATTATGCATAAGGAAATACAAAGTGTGTTTTGCTCAGATTGTTCCCTAAGTCCCACTTGCATTAGAACAAATTTGTGTTTTTAAGACAAATTTGTTCTGTTTGCCTGTGAGGCCAGGGCAGAAAGAGCAAAGGGAGGAAGCGGCTCCTAAGCCCCATACTCAGGTGCTGCTCTGCTTCCGCCTAGAACCTGACCTACGAGATCATCCTGACACTGGGGCAGGCATTCGAGGTGGCCTATCAGCTGGCTCTGCAGGCCCAGAAGTCCAGGACCTTGGGGGCCTCTGCAGCTGAGATGATTGAAACAAAATCTTCCAAACCGGTGCCTAAGCCTCGGGTCGGCGTGAGGAAGTCTGCAGTACGTGGTGCCGTTACCCACACCTCCCCCTCCCCTGTGGCTCCCTGTTCCCCAGGACTCCAGGGCTCAGGGCAGAGCTGGACAAGTGCAGGGCTTTCCCCCATCCTGCACACAGCTGTTCCCAGGAAAGTGGGCCCCTTAGCTCCCTACCATCTGCCAGGTCTCCATATGGAGAGCTGAGCTCATCTGGCATGAGGTAGGCAGACCTCTGCCAATGCACTGCCAACCCCCCTGCTTCTTCCGGGCCCAACACAGGGCAAGGCCACCATGGGGCTAGTGGGGATGGCCGTGTGAGTGCCCAGTGACATCGTCCTTGTGTCTGTGTCTGCTTTGCTCTGCGCCCAGGTGCCGCTGCCCCCTGATAGTCGCTGTTGTTACTGTCACACCTGCACCACCCACCGTCCTTCCTACCTACCGCTGCCGTCTCTTAGTCCCGGAGTCAAGGTCTTTACACCTCCTGCTGTCTGTGTGTCCGTCTCCCTGAATGCTGTCTGTGTATCCGTCAACCCGAAGTCACCGTGAGCTTTCTCGGAGTGTGGTGGCCTCTTCCTCTGCCCGCGTGACATTGTCCTCTCTCTTCCTGAGATTCCCTCTTGCCTTTCCCCACGTGTGCTTTGCTCTCCATTTCTCTGTGTCCTCCCCACAGGACTGGGGTGATTGTTGCACTCCTGCCTTGGGCTGAACTCTGCCCTACTTGAGGGCTGGGGTCACCAAGCCCCAGAGCCCCTTCCTGACCATTATGACCAGCTTGGGGTTTAGACCAAGAAGCTTAAGTAGGGCCAGGTCCCTGTACCTGAGTAGCCCCAAGGAATGCCTGTGGGAAGCAGTCCCTGGAAGTAGCCATCCCTAAAAGGCTCCAGTGAGGTGACATTCCCACTCTACCTTCTAGGAGCCTGCTCTTTGAAGCTTCAGCCTGGCTTGGGGGAAGAGTACACTGGGCCCTGTTTACCCCTGGCTCAGAGTCCTGCTGACTTTCCACTCCTTTTCCTTGTTTGGCAGCTGGAACCACCTGATACAGACCAAGAGGCCCCATCTCATGCCAGTGTCTCCTGGATTGTGGACCCAAAGCCAGACTCTAAGCGGAGCCTCAGCACCAAGTATGAGACCACTATCTTCTAAACAGCCCACCCTGTCTCCACTAGTCTCACTGTGCCTTTGCCACCCGATCTTTCTGCTGTCTCAACTCCTTCCAGCTGCCACCGCCATGGCCCCACATCTGCTGGGACCTGCCCTCCTCCTGGCAGCAGCTCTAGACACCGCACTCCCAGCTCCGTACCCAGTGCCACCCAACACTGTGAATTCTCCCTTTGGGCTGGGGACAGCTGAGGGGGAAGTTGCCTTTGAGGTGGGTGCCAGGGCAGCTCTGCAGAAGGCCCTGTGAGCCTAAGGGGAGGGACGGCCAGCCACACGGCCCCACTGGTGGCCCTTCTGAAGTGGCTCTGTCTCTTCTGTCCTGAGCCACAGCTGGGTGCCAAGAGCTCTCTGTCTTCACCTTCCTGACACAACCAACCACTGTGACCACCCAGTGCCAGAATTCCCTGCACTTGTTCACAGCTGGCTGCAGCCACTGCTCCCCTCAGCTGCTCTCGGGCTGGCTTGCTCTCCTGGTCAGGCCCTGGTGAGACCCTGAGCTCAGTGATGTGACAGAGTGCTTTCTGGGAGGCCAGAGGTACAGGCCAGGCCCTTGGGCACATGCTGGCTCCAAAGTGGGACAGTGAGCCTCTGAACACACACAACTCCATGCCAAGGAGTGGGGTGGGGGGTGCCTGTGGTCAACCGCTCATGACTGTACCATAGAGGCCCAGGTCTGGAGGGCCTAGACCCAGCTCTGGAGTCCAGCTCACCGAGGAGAACATCCTGTGGGAGCCAGCATAAGGAAGCCTGTGTCCTGCACACATGTGCACCTTCTTCCCTCAGAGCAGAGCTGCCTGAGCACAGGGCCCTGCACCAAGCCACCTCCATTGTCTCTGGGAGCTTTCTGACACTTCTTCATGTGTGGGGACCCAAGCTAGCCGTGATCCAGCCTTCCCCTGAGCACCCTCTCTCAGCTCTCAGTCTCTCAGTCTTCCTCACCTCAGTGCTTCAGCAGCTGGCATCGTGGAGCTGAGTCATGGAGGAAACCTGCATTTTCCAATGCGGGCAGCTCACATTAGATGGCAGGGGACAGGAAGGAAGCAGTTCCCACAGGAAATGGTACAGATGTAGCCGTGTACAGTAGGAAAGCCAGCAAGTTAGAGTCACCAGCCAAGGTGATAAGCCAGGGTGGGTCCTTCTGCCACTTGCTGTCCTTGGGTCTTCCTGAGCAGATGACTGGGCCAGAGGCAGCAGTGGGCTGTGGGCCTTGGAGGGTGCCTGGGGAGGCTGTGAGGGACCTCTGTTCTGCTTCTGTGTGTCCTTTCCATTTCCTCCACTTGTGTAGGCCTGTTGGTTAACCCTTTCCTCCCCCATTGTTTGCTTCTGCCAAGCTGAGCCACTGAGGAACCGCACTGTGCTGCAGAAACACAGACGTGGGGCGCACAGGCTCCGTCCCCACCACCACCACCTCGCCTGCAGCTCTGAAGACCCAGGCCCAGCCCCTGCCTATAGGAGCTGCTCTCGGCTGCTTGGCCTGGGCCTGCACCACCAGGTCTTTCAGAGTGAGTCCTGCCCCGGCTGCGGAGACGATTCCAGGCCTCTAGCCCATGACACTCCAGAGGGCCAAGAAGTGATTTGCTCAGAATACAAATGTTTTTAATAGAAAACCTTTTTATAAAATGAAATTTTAATACTTGGCTCAACCTCTAGGTAAAACTGCCAATTTGAGACAAACGGCCAGGGGTTCAGAGGACAGAGGAGAACTGAGAGCAGCCAAAAAGGCTGTCTGTGCAGCCCTCTCTCCTTGATCTTGGCACAGCAGGGCTGTAGGGGCGAGCAGCATGAGTTGAAGGAGCAGACTCAGGGCAGAGTTGAGTTCTTAGTCTGTTCACACCTAACTTCTCGTCCCTGTTTAGAGCTGGGTAAAAACACAGCCTTACAGGCTTCTGGGCCAAAGCAAAGGTTCCCATTATCTTTCTTGGGGCCCACATGAGAAGGTCCAGTGGCCAAATAGAAATGAGCTTGTAGTTTCTGGTGCCTGGAAGTCAGGGTGGTGCAAGGAGCTTCTCTGCGGCTCACTGCCGATGGCCAGCGACTGCCCCCAGGCTGGCTGCCCCCTGCTCTCGGGCATCCTGTGCAGCCAAGCTTGAAAAAGAGACGCAGCAGTTTTCATTTTGGGCATTCCGGGTAGGTCAGTGAAGATTGCTGCTTATCAACTTATGGCTCATCTGAGGAGGTAGGTGGACAGGGCTCATTGGGATTCTCCAGATTACTGGTTTGATTCTCCACAGCTGGACATATCTCTGTGCAGGTGTGGGAAAGGCTAGATCACCTGACAGTCTATTTGGTTCCCCTCCCCCGCTTTTGTTGCCTTGGGAGTGACTGGCTGTTGTCCTGGCCCAGCCCTGCTGCTCAGATCTTTCTGTCAGCTTGCTTTGCTTTTCATAGTGACTTGGGTGATGGTCTTCCTTCTGGAATTGAGTAGAAGTGTGGGTGCCTGCTTCCAATAGGGCAGAGAGGCAAAGCCAAGGCAGCCACTGTCCGGGCCCTTCGAGTGAGGAGCAATGAGGAGTACTGCCCATCCCTGCCTCCACCTCAAGTACCTTATAGGCCTCAGTTCATCCCATTCCTGTCATGGGTACTCGTGCTTCCCAGCAAGGGCTGCAGATCATGACTCTGCTGTGCACCTGCGTAGGGAAGCACACCAGACACCCCCCACCGTGGAGGGGCAGAAGTGGAAAGCAGGAACTGTGGGTCTCCTGTTTGCTCCGCACCCAGCACAGCCAGTGCTGGAGTGCACCCCTCTGCAACTAAAAAGGACCTGGAAGTTAAACTTCATTTCCCACCCTGGCACAGCTTAGACTGTGCAGGAATCCCCCTGAAGATGCATGGCCCTGCTGCTGGGCACCTCTGCCTTGCCCCTCAGACCAGGCACAGCTTGGGCAGCTCTGCTGGAGGGCATCAGGCCTGAAGGGAGACGTGTAAACACTACCATGAGTTCCTCAAGCTGTACTGCTTTTAAATCGCCTGGAGGCATTTATTTCCCTTGAAGCTGCTATATCTTATTTATATTCAGGGTGTTTTCATTATTGGAAAGCCTTGGTCAATCTGCTCTGGGTCTTGTTTTGTGATTGGTTTATTTGTGAATATTCCAGAAAGGAAAGTTACTGGACCTGTCCTATGCTTTCTCTTCCTCCTCCTTCACTGCGCCTTGGGGCCATCACTCCTGTCCCTAGGAAGAATATGGTAACTTTCGAGACAGGTGTCCAGTGGAACAGCCCTAGCTTTCACGCTTCCCCCGAGCACAGGACACACAGGTATGGGAAACTTGGTCGCCATGCCTGTAATGTGAAGGAGCCTGTTCAGGTGGGGAGCTGTAAGACACACTCAGTACCTGTGCTGGCCGCAGGCTCCCTGCTTGCCTCTCCTGTCCCCTCCCATCCTCTCCGCTCGCCCGCTGCCCTGGGCAGTAGGCCCAGCTCTGCATCTGTACCGCTGCACTTCCCGCCTAGGGAGATCCCTGAGAAGCCTTGGGTTGAACAGGCATCACGCATAGGTGCGGTCGTCAAGACATTAGAAACTAGTCTGAACTTGGTCGGTTTTTGAGGTGCCCAGGCCTGCACAACACAGTTCACGAGAACGTTGTTGCTAATGGCATGGCAATGAACTATAACAAAAATGTTATTTAATCTTTGTCTCCATATTTTGATACTTGAATGACTTCCCCTTTTGTTTTACTGTACATAGAATTGTCTATCTGTCTGAATTTGTCTGAATTATAAACACCTTGTGGTACCAAACACAGCCAACCTGTGCAACAACATAGACTGACCTCACTACACACAGTGTAAATATTTCTGGGCTTCCAGCTTCGGTTTTGTTATTTTCGTAACTGTACAATTTAGAACAGACTGAATTAATAAATGAGAAGCAATGTCAAACTGGCCTTAGTTCTTTTAGTATGAGTTGAAAAATTTTGTGATGGTGCTGGCATTTGAACCCAGGGCCTCATGAATGCTAGAGCCACACTCCAGCCTGCTGCTCCAGATGTGTGTTTGTATTCCAGATTCCACAAGCAGCTTTAAAAGTTGCTGTTACTAGCTCTGCACACCTCTGAGTTGGCATAACCTGACTGAGTCTTAAGACTCAGAAAGGCTAAGACACCTACCTACACAGGAGGGCTGGAGAGGACTTAGAAACTAGCTCAGTGGCTCCAACTTGTCCCAGCCCCTACTTGTCCAACACAGAGCACTCCTATTCATGAGTTTTTATGAAATGTTCCCTTTATTAAATATTTTGAGAAAGACAGTCACTAGTCTGGTGATTGTCCAACACCCCATTTTATGTGCCAAGAAAATAAGGCCTAGAGAAGGAAAAAAATTGTGTCATAGCCAGCTAGCTGATGGCAGAGAAGGAAACCTAGGCTCTAGCGCTAAGTTGGAGCGTCACTGCCACAGCGCAGTCACCATGAAAGCAGACAGCAGCCCGGCAGAGAGGCGCCGCACCCCACCGCATCCCTCCCTGCTGTGACAGTCTCCTAGGCAGGAAAATCTGACAGCCCGAAGAGACAGGTCTGGTCCTAACCTGTGCCACCTGTTCTGCTGGGACATGGCAACAGGAAACATTGCCACTGTCACAGTCCTTTCTGATGCGACCCAAAACACCTTACATTGCCTATAGTCCTCCAGCCCAAGGCTGTGGTGGCTGTGGTGCCTTTGGACCTGGAGTGAGTCCATGCTGGGCATCCATGCCTGCCGTTGGCACCACAGGCAGCACACCACCTGACCACATGGCAGGGGCTGAATGGAAAGAGAAGGACGGGTTGGGGAGTAGATGGGGCACATCATAGCACCACATTCGTCCTTGCCTCCACCCATCACCGCTCTCCACTTCCCCCAGCCTCTCAAGAGCATCTACATGCGGGGGTGTGAGGGCCTGTGGGAGGAAGCGCTGGCCCGAGCGCACCACTGTCCACATGGCGACAAGAGCAGAGTGCGTGGCAGACCTCTGTGGAGTTACGGCATTTTACATCATTTTTTTTCAATTCAATGTATCAGTTTTATTTGCACCGGTCTCTTTTTGGTCGGTCGTGGGACTTGAACTCTGGGCCTGGGCACTGTCCCTCAGCTCTTCAGCTCAGGGCTAGCACTCTATCACTTGAGCCACAGCGCCATTTCCAGCTTTTTCTGCTTATGTGGTGCTGAGGAATGGAACCCAGGGTCTCATGCATGCCAGGCAAGCACTCTACCATTAAGCCACCTTCCCAGCCCACAATTCATTGTTTTATATGATGTACATTAAATATAATGACTACATTTTCTTAGCCTTCCTCCGTTCCTGTACCTTCCTTTGCCCATCCCCCAGAACATGTTTTCACTTCTGATATTTGCTTTGATAAACTAGCTATTCAGACCAGTTAGGCCTTCAGCTTCCTCCCCTAAGAGAATACCCTTTTTAGTTAGTTTGTGTGTAAATGCATTGAGCCCTGTATATGTGTTCATGCCTAATTCTATTTTAGATCTAGCTTCCACATGTGAAACATGCATCATTTATCTCTGTCAACATGGCTCACTTAACACAATTTGTTCCAGGTCCATCCATTTCCCTTCAAATGACACAATCCCATTCTTTCTAATGGATGAGTAAAATTCCATTGTGTACAGGTAACACTTTTTTTTTTTTTTTTGGTCTGGTCAGTCATGGGGCCTGAACTCTGGGCCTGGGCACTGTCCCTGAGCTCTTTAGCTCAAGGCTAGCACTCTACCACTTCTGGCTTTTTCTGCTTATGTGGTGCTGAGGAATGGAACCCAGGGCCTCATGCATGCAAGGCAAGCACTCTACCACTGAGCCACCTTCCCTGCCCAGGTAACCACATTTTCTTGATCCACTCATCCATTGTAGTACATCTGGGCTGTTTCCAGAACTTGGCTTTGTGAATATTGAAGCAAGGGACATAGATGGGCAAGTGTCTTTATTTTTTTTTCCTGTCTTGGTGCTTGAACTCAGGGCCTGGTGGCTGTCCCTGAGCTCTTTTTTTGTTCAAGGCTAGCTTTCTACCCCTTGAGCAACAGTACCACTTCCAGCTTTTTCTGGGGGTTAATTGGAGGTAAGAGTCTCAACAGTCTTTCCTGTCCAGGCTGGTCTTGAACCGTGATCCTCAGATCTCAGCTTCCTGAGTAGCTAGAATTACAGGCATGAGCTACTGCTGCCCACTGAATGTTGGATTTTGTCAAAGGCTTTTTCTGCTTTTATTGAGATGATTATGTGATTCTTGTCTTTAGCACTGATAATGTGGTGTCTTGTTTATTGATTTACATATATTAAGCCAGCCTTGCATCACTGGGATGAAACTAACTTGATCCTAATAAGTAATTTTTTTTGATTGTTGAATACTGTTAGCAAGTATTTTACTAAAGAGCTTTGTGTCTGTATTGGGTCCCTGGTTTGGGGAATGAGTGTGATGCTGGCTTCATAAAATGTGTTTGAGTAGTAATCTTTCCATTTCTATTTTATGGAAAAGTTTGAGGAATACTGTTCTTCTTTAAAAGTCTTAGAGAATTCAAGCTGGGTGCCAGTGATTCATGCCTTTAATGGTAGCTATTTGGGAGGCTGAAACCTGAGATCGCAGTTTGAAGCCAGCCTGTGCAGGAAAGGCCATGAGACTCTTATCGCCAATGAACTATTCAGAAAAAGCCAGAAGTGGTGCTATTGCTTAAGTGGTAAAGTGCTAGCCTTGAGCAAAAAGAAGCTCCGTGAAAGCTCCCAATCCCTGAGTTCAAGCCTCAGGACTGGCCAAAAAAAGTCTTACACAATTCAGCTGTGAATCCATAGGAATGTGACTTTTCTTTATTGGGAGACTATTTATGGGTCTAATTTGACTCACCTTAGGCAGCATATATGTCTATAGGAATTTATCCATTTCTATAGATTTTCCATCTTATTTGCATATGGGTTTCAAAAATAATCTTTCATAATATATTGGATTTCTTGAATGTTTGTAGTGGTTTCCTTTTTCATCACTAATTTTGTTGACTTGGGTCTCTTTTTTTGTCAAATTAGCTAAGGGTTTGTCAATCTTATTTTTCAAAGAACCAGTTTTTATTTTTGTTGAATGTGCATGTAATTTTTCAGTCTTTTAATTCACTCATTTCTGCTCTGATCTTTACTATTATCTCTCCATCTAGTAATTTGGGGTTTTGTTTTTCTAGCTTTAGTAGTTAATTACTGAGTAATTTACAAGTGATTTACTTGAGTGGTATCTTTCCTCTTTTTGTAGGCCCTTCTAACTATGCACTTTCAACACTGCTTTTACTATATCCCAGAGGCTGTGGTATGTTGTATTTTCTTTGGATTGCAGGAACTTTCTGATTTCTCCTTGTATTTCTTCAGTGACCTAGCTGTTACTGAACAGTGTGTTGTTTGGTCTTCATGTGTTTGAGTGTTTTCTGTAGTATCTTTGGCTGTTGAGTTCTAGTTTAATTCTGTTGTGATCAGATTGGAAACGGAGTTACATCAACTTTCTTTTTTTGTTTGCTCAAGCTCTTTGTGTAACCTAGGCTATATTTTTTGGGGGGTGGGGGGGTGGTGGTCCTGGGAGCCTGAACTCTGGGCCTGGGCGCTGTCTCTCAGCTCTTCAGCTCAAGGCAAGCGCTCTACCACTTGAGCCACAGCACCACTTCTGGCTTTTTCTGCTTATGTGGTGCTGAGGAATGGAACCCAGGGCCTCATGCATGCAAGGCAAGCACTCTACCACTGAGCCACCTTCCCAGCCCCTCTCTGCGGTTATGTTGTCTGAGCTGTCCTAGTTGGAGTTCTGTATGCCTCAGTCAAATGAAATTTTGTTCCTTGAGGTTGGGGAAGTTTTCTGTTTTGTTGAATAGGTTCTCAGTGCCTTTAGTTTTAAATTATTCTCCATTGTTTATTCCATTATACATAGATTTGATCTTTTGGCCAAATCTGCTAGTTCTTGAATGTCCCTGTCGTATGTTGTTTTTTCAATATATTTGACTGTTTGTTGTAAATTCCTCTGCTTTAACTCCTGATACCTTGTTTTCAACTTGTGTTCTATTGTTTATACTTTTAACTGTGTTTTGTATTAGGGAGGTAGAGCTCTCATACTTCCCAGCTCTTTGTTGATATAGCTCATGTCCTTCATAGAGCTCTTCATGATTTCTCATTATATTGATATAGTCTCATGTTTTGCATTTTCATTGTCTTGTTTTTCTGCCTTCTCTTGGTATTATTCCAGTTTTTCAAGTATATGCTCTTATTTCATCAGCAATTTTTCTTATCAGTGCTTTAATGATTTCTTTTTTTCAGTCGTGGGGCTTGAACTCTGGGCCTGGGCACTGTCCCTCAGCTTTTCAGCTCAAAGCTAGTGCTGTACCACTTGAGCCACAGTGCCACTTCTGGCTTTTTCTCCTTATGTGGTGCTAAGGAATCAAACCCAGGGCCTCATGCATGTGAGGCAAGGACTCTACCACTGAGCCACCTTCCCAGCCCATTCAATGTTAGTTTGCCCATTCTTCTTCACTCCAAGTCCTCCCCTGTGTTGTTGTTGGATTTTGGGAATGGCATCTTGTCTTGTTTATTCTTAAGTGTTGTGATCTTTCTCTGATTTACAGATCTAGGTTCGGGGTTTGTAAAGGCCATTCACTTGTGGTGGGGAACAGGAATGTGAGAGCTTCACCATGGTGGTGGTAGGGATCAGCACCACATTCTTCCGGAGCCTTCTGGTAGCTTTTTCTACTTCTGACTTTTGGGTGATTAATTTGAAACGGGTCTCATGGACTTTTCTGTTTGGGCTTCAAATCATGATCCTCAAATCTCATCTACCTGAACAGCTAGAATTACAGGTGTGAGCCACTAGCATCCAGCCCTGATGACTTATTTCTAAGAGAGAGGAAAAGAGGGAAGGAGGGAGGGTAGATTTTGTGTTTGG